TGTAATGACCTTGAGGACTTCAACTTTCTTATCAAAAACTTCCTCTATTTTTGCAGCGAGATACATAATGTACATGTACCATTGTCACATGCATATGAGGTTTCTCGGATGATTAGATACCAGAACATTTAAGCAGGAATGATGCTCTAGTACTAACCATATCGAAAACGAGATAGATTCCTGGCAAATAAGTTGACGATAGGGGAATATAAACAAACTCTTTTAAATTCAGTTTCACATACTCTATGATCATAACAAAGACTTTCATTCTCAAATGAAAGAACTTATTTGCAGGGAGGTCAATGTCAGATGAAATTTTAAGTACATGTATGTTTGTTGTCAAGTCGAAAATTGTTCAACGTCTTTCATACAAATTGTAAGGCCATTATTTTCATACAGAATTTTATACAGATTTATCCATTTAATACCATAGCATTGCATTTGACAAATGGCGGGTATGACCAGTAAATAATTCTCCATGGCACTAATACCCCTCTCTGGGAATAGGTCTTTATATTTGCTGTGCTTACCATGTATGTAATGAATATCATATTAGAGATTTTTGAATTAAAGTTTGTTTTCTATTTTATTTGTTAATCAGATGCGTTGCTAAGGTTTATGTTTGCTGCAGACTTTGTATGGGAATTATTAAAAAACAGAAAACAAATAAGTTCTAATTTTAAGATAAAATAAATATTCGTAGTACTTTATCGAATACATTTAACGCCAATTGATAGAAAAGGAAAATCATATTTTCGAATCTACTACTATTTTTCCCTATCTAAACTGAATGAAACTTTACAATGTTTTATGCGAACACTACTTTATGCAATTGAAAGTAAAATTTAATATGAAAAGTGTGGATTCAGTAATGATTACTTACTTGCAGAAACTATACAGAAAACACAGAACAAGGACAATATCAATGTCAGGAAACTGGAGAAATTCATAGTTAATACGTTAAAAACAGCACAGGAAAAATATGAAAATGGCTACAACAACAACGATAATCTCGCAAGGATTAAAGCGTCTTTACTGATCAGGATTAGGAGGTCAAATATTTAAATCTTTATTATTCGTGTATTTGATCATGATCACTTACACACATGTCGCAATAAAGGTCTTTAATACAAACATACCCTCAGAGCATTAGAAAATTGTTGTACATTTAAAAGTGAAAAGATTAATATCACTGTATTATATGATTCTTCAAAAAAGGTTGTATTTTCATAATATTAATGTTGTTTATAAAAATTAAAGAATTATCACATTGCGAAAGCATGTCGCATAGATTAATATTAAATGTTTTTACAGTTTATTATAAGCTTTCTTACCTATACCTCGATAAAATATGTCTAAAATAAATTTGTAGTTTGTTCAATGTAATTAATATCAAACTATAGAATTTTGCGGTAAATATTGGTAACTCAATTTTAGGCAGCAAAAGATTAAATCCTGATTTTTTTTCATAAAAGTTCAAGGTAGACATTTAAATATATAACAAGGAAGACACACCTCTACCATCCCAATGCCATGCTAATGTAATATTTGCTGTACTGTTAAAAACAATTAAGTTGATCCATATTAGATGAGAGATATTTCTTTGACACAAGCTAAAGAAGGAAATTTCTGAATTAATAAATATGAATTATGATATACATTCAATTACATTTTTCTACTGTTCATTATCTCCATATATGTCATGTAATGGAGAAAAAGGATTTAATTAAAATGAGTCTCTATAACAGAGCTATCAGCCAATACTTGAATTCTAGTTGACATCCTTATTCGAAAGCATGTTGAAAGTACTCGCATATTTTTTTTTCGAAATCATGCTCATTCTTACGTCATTTGTAAGACCTTAAATATGACTTCTTCTTGTTACGTAACCACTCTTTTTTGTCTATAATGCTAGCTATTGCTTTCCTTTCTCTATAGCAATTGTATCAACTTTATTCTTGAGTTTTGTACACTTTACATCTCTACTTCCTCCGTCATATTTTATTTATACATTACAAATGTACTCACATTGATTTAACATTGGAGTCCTTCCTTACATGTTAACTTTGAAGAATTCCATTGAACAAACCTAAATTTCATCAACGCTATCTGTATTAGAATTCTACACTTCATTAAAATCTTTACAAACAAAAGATAGTTTGCTGAATCAAGCAAGTGCTCTTTCACTTTGGTTTGTGCAGTGACCTTGATACTATATATATTATAAACTATATAAACTTCCTCCTTCATGGCATCTGATCCCATCTCTGATGTTTTGGAGGTCCGTGTTTGCTCTGCTCCTATTTTGTATTGTTTAATGGACTTCTGAGCTTGAATACTGTTCATTATCTTCATATACTTCATAATTTGTAGTTTGACTGACATATTTAATACTGTAACATATTAGACCTTTGTCTTCATACTTGAATTAACTATCTAGCTGATCAATAAATACGGCGTATGTTGGGGATGCTTTCCCCTTCATGGTATCCGTTCTCACCTTTGTCACTGCAAAAGGTCCGAGTTTGCCCTGTTTAGTAATTTGTACTGTTTACAGGAGCTTTTGACATCGCTAATCGTTCGTTATCCTCACAACTTCCATTTTATTTTGAATAATTTTTCCTAACACTATTAGTCTTTGGTCCTTCCTGAAAATATATTTCAGATATGAATCAAATTATTTCAAGTGAAAAAAAGCGGTTCATGTGTAATTTTCAGAAGAAAAAACATCAATATTGCTATTTTTCTTTTATTATTTCGACCATTGATGAGAAGAAAGAAACAACTGTGATTTTACACACATTCCCTAACACGCCACACTTAACAATGAATACACGAAAAAATATTGGTGTCCGGCATAATTTCCACTAAAAGAACCAATCACAATATTGTACATATTAACTATTTAATGTATTATCTAAATAATTTACATATCATATTCAACAGTTGTGTATTATAATTACCAATTACAACTGCAGACATGATGATGTCCTGATGAAACATGTAATCTTAGACAAGTAAATATTAAACAGATCACTTTGAAAGTACAAGACGTGAATAAAGACATTCTCCAAAAACAATATCTTGATATTTTGCATAAATGATTGCTTACATTCTATACTAGTGAAGTTTCTACTAAATAAATTAAAGTCAACATATGTTTTTATGAGTATACATATAAATAGAAAATATGATAGAAATTTTAACAAGAGGCCCATGGGCCACATCGCTCACCTGAGTATTGTGGCTAGGAGAAAAGCAAAAATCAGTTTAGCATTAAAAAGCTTAAATGCATGAGTGGTACCTTTGATCCCCCATTGTGGCCACATCCTATCCCTGGGGGTCATGATTGGTACAAATGTAGAATATATAAGGATGCTTTCACATGCGTATATATAAACTATATATTGGTTCTTGAGAAAAGATTTTTAAAGATTATCTATATACCTAATTGTTAAACTTTGATTCCTTTTGGCCCCAACTAACCGGGGGAACATTATATATGGCGTATGTTGAATTTACACTACCAAAGGATGCTTCCACATGAGTCTAGCCAAATGGTTCTTCAGAAGAAGAATTTTAAAGATTTCCCCGATGTATACCTATGTTAATCTTTGCCCCCCCCCACCATAATGGCCCCACCCTTCCCATGGGGGTAATGATTTGAACAAACTTGAATCTACACTACCTGAGGATGCTTCCACAATTTATTTTTAAATTTTAAATCATTTTTTCTAGCATTATTCTTGCTTCTTCCAATATATATATATTATAAGAGGGCATGACCCTCCATTTGTAAAAAATTATATCCCCTTTACCCAAGGATACTTTGTAGCAAGTTTGGCTGAAATTGGCCAAAATTATTTTTATTAGAAGAAGATGAAAATGTGAAAAGTTTACGACAACTGTGACACGACAACAACAACAACACACCAACGTTCAAAAATTTTAATACAGAAAAAGCTATTGAGCCTTCGGCTTTAATTATTGAAAAAATCAATTTATTATACATTTTTTATATCAGATAACTGATCTACTTTATTTACAAATTTGTTGAGCCACCGAAGTTTAATATGGTCTTTGAAGATGTTGCTAGACCTTCTTTCTAAATCTAGAACAGTAATGTATCACGCAAAGCTTTGTCAAAAATTGCTTAGAAAAGTTAGAAAAAAATTTCTTTTATAGCTAAAAATTGACATCTTTTACAGCATAAATCATTGTCCCTAATATAAAGACTTTTGGAAAAAAATATTGAAAAGAGCTGCTAAAGCACAAAAACTATCGTGAAAAATTTATCTGTTGAGGTATATATAAAATTCCTCTCATTATGGTTAATAGATACTCTTGTGAGAGACAAAAAATAATATAACTGGGATAAATGACTATAATTAGAATTTTTTAAGGTATACACGTATTTTGTCAAGTTTCCCAAAGGGATTGAAATTGCTTGCAAACATGAATTATACAATGCATTTCAATTCATTTCAATTCTTTTGGACAATCATTGATATAAAAAAATCTTTATTGAGTAGACAGAAGAGAAAAAAACTTTTAAATATTGATGAAGACTTTTCTCTGAATGGTTAACTTTATGATAAAGTTTCTTTTTTCAATATGGTCCAACTTCCGATATTAAAACTTTTTGACTTTTTATAGAGTCTTAAGAAAAAAAACTATTACACATGTAGAAACATTCCAGATTACAAAATCATAATGGAGACATTTCAACTCAAAAAAAGTATAAAAATTTATATTACTCAATGGATGCTTTAATAAATCTTTATATTAAATGTACACCAATTCAAACACAATGTATATCAGCAGTTCAAAACTGAAATAAAAATACATGAAGAGGTATGTGTAAAGTTAGATAAATGGCCTGATAACAATATTGCAGTCGTTGTTGCTCAAACAAAACACTTTAAGTGTCAATTACAATATTCTAAAATCTAAACACAAACCTACATTGCAGATAACCTTCAGAACTATATCTTGCCGAGTTTATGCTTTGCAATAATTCTTTTACAGTGAAGCAGTCATATTGCACTATTATGCCATGTGCGATTTCTGTACACTTATCACACCGCTGTAATGGCGTCTTTCCCGTTTGGAATATCAACTCGTACAAGGTTGAGATTGTCTTTATCTTCGTTGTATCCGGATAATTCATCTTTGGATAAGTGATAAACTATCCCAGCCCCAATGCTGTCTCCGACAACATTTGTCATTGTACGAAATCGATCCCTGTGAATACATTTAAATGAATATTTATATTTAACAGTTTTAAATTGAAATTTCAATAAAAATTTTCTAATTGCTATAATGCAAACCTTCATTTCCTGATACTTTATAAAGTAAAAATAAAAGAAATCCAACAAGATAGCTTAACTAAACAAAGGTATTCAAACACTTCAGTGAAAAAAATGCATTCAAACAAAATTTGATTTCTTTAATACATGACAGTGTAACACACAGGAAAATGCTCTCTTTTTTTTATGTTTGAGCTCTGCTCCTATTTTGTATTGTTTAAAAAAATGTTATTTATCCTTTTCATTATTATCAACACAAGAAAATCTTATAATAATCTGAAACTCAAGTAAAACGTTTATAACGTTATTGGTTGGTTTAAAATTTATTGAAAAAAAATCATACAATCCCAGAAACTTACAAAAACCAATCAACAACAAGGATCAAAGTTACGTCATCAATTGGTAAACCAACAGCTGCAAGGACAATTACCATTGTAACCAATCCAGCTTGCGGTACGCCTGCAGCGCCGATAGATGCTGCCGTAGCCGTTATACTGTAAACGAGTTTTAAATCACTACATTCATTTTGAGACTTAAATACAGAATACAAAATATATTAAATCAGAAAAGCTATTTATATAAAAATTGTTGGAAATGTATTGAAAACAATTATGCCTGATTGTCACTATTTGGCCAAATGACATATCCATATCGTTGACTTGCGCAATAAAAAGAGCTGCCACTGCCTCGTAGAGAGCCGTCCCATCCATATTAATGGTAGCGCCCACAGGAACCACAAAGCTGCCAACCCTCTGGTCGATTCCATTATTCGTTTCCAGGCAACGCAGAGTAACAGGCATTGTTGCTGAGCTGAATCCATGTAAGAATTTAAAATAATGCAAATGAGAATTTGAGTTTTAAAATTCATGTAAAAAAATCTATATGCCAATTAAAAGCTACACATCCTGATTACATGATATCTAGATCTGGCTTTACATATCAGACACAGACTGTTTTGTTTAGAATGGCTATAATAATCAATTTTATTTCAACCTGCTCGAAGTCCCAAAAGCTGTAGCCATTGCTTCCAGAATACCACGAAGAAAGGCATATGGGTTGCGTCTGGTCAGGACAAAATACAAGAGAGGTAGAATAACGGCACCATGGATCAGAAGTCCAAACAAGACAGTCAGGAAATACAGACCGACACGTGTCATCAGAACTCCGAAATCCGCCATGCCCACGATTTTACCAGCGATCAGAAACGTTATACCAATAGGAGAGTACCTAAAGATGAATTTATTAAGATACTTGTATTACCCGAAATGTTACAACTATTGTTGTGCAGTTCTGATAATAAAACAAACCATCAATACACGTAAGTTGTCAATAGGTCAAATCTTTTCAATTCAGTGTCCTTACAATATTTTTAGGTTTCCAAAAACATCTTCTGGACAACCAATTACGGATGAAAACGAACTTTTCATGTGAAGAAAAACAAAACTGAACTTCTGGAAGCAGTAAACAAGATTTCATATAACTTAAGCATTCAGAAAATAGATATTTTAAATATTTAATCTGCTTTATTTCCCAGCTGATGGAGTCACCTACCATATGAAGACCACAAAGAGCTTCATGGTGCACTCGGTGACACAGTTGCAAAAGTTCAGCAGCGGTTTTCCCTTCTCACCCATCCGACCAATGACGATCCCAAAACAAACAGAGAACACGACAAGTCCTAGAATGTTAGATTGACCCGTCTCTCCTTTCGAAGGTTCCACCGTGACAGATTCTGATGGATTTAAAGATATAGTAGATATACATGTAAAATTTACTAATGAAATGTCTGTATTCAAGACAAAAAATACCCCCTGTTGTTTCAGAGGGCATTTGAGACTCCTCAAGAATGCATAAGTTCTTATTTGGAAGATTGCTGGAAGATATAATATTTAACTCATGTATTACAAGGCTTTAAATTTTCATTTCAATGTCGTATGTATTTTTATGTACGTAGCCGTATATATCTTTCCAAGTCAAGGTTTTCTGATATACCGTACTTTGTTTAATGTGGATTGGAAATGCATTAGAAACCTTTGACTTGGGAAGATGGTGAAGACTGTATATGGTTAATTTATAATAAAGCTGTGAACACCATGAAGATGAATCAACAATGAATTAAAAATGACAGTTGCACTTCTGTTGTGGAATATGCAAAACTTTTATGCAATAACGAAATAAAATACATGTGGAAACCTGTGACATTGCCATTATACACTACTATAGTAACTAAATTACTAAAAAGTATTTCGATATATGTCATTGAATGATAGTACTGTATCATGTATAGCACATTTGAATTCCAAGGCACCAACTGGAATCAACCAAAAATTCATAATTTGTTTCATCATATGATCCTCACCTTTCAGGACTTCAGTCGTGTTTTCTACGTCTGAGGTTATATTTTCCAGGGCAACCGAAATATTCTCTACAGTAATCGTCTCTTTGAGATCGGTCTTGTACTGAAAGAACCCAGAAGAAAGTTTAAGAACCTTGCAAGATACGAATGGTAGGTAAAGAAAAAACTTGTGACAAGAGTATTTACGGTGAAATTGAAGAGCATGGATCAATATATTATGAAATCATGCTTGCAAAACAATTACTATCGCAACAGGTAAGGAAAACAATTTTTGACTTTGAATTTCATATGCATCAAAGTGAATTGATTAACGCATATTTTAGATGAGATGAAATGATAAATTGAACAGGCTTTGTTTATGACTATCCAATGTATATCTTACCGCCGTGTAGCAGGCAACAATCAAGTTATCAGGGAACATATTTCTGAAAAATAATAAAAAGAATCTTAATTTCGGAATAATAGCTAGACAAAAAATTGTCAGACAGAATTGATTATGAGTCAAAGTTTTTCCTTGTATTTATAAAGTCCGTCGCATGGGTCGTTAAAAGATGCTTGTGTCGAGGATTACTATCCTCTTGGCTCGTTAAAGGTATTTTCTGTGGTTTTCAAAATGGAGTAGGCCCATTAGGGACTTCCAGAAAAAACCCAAAATATTTGAAACCCTGAATCAAATTATAACCACCTAAAATCACTAAAGTATTGCCGATTGAGTGTAAAACAATAACAATCAATTAATCAATGTTTGTATATGAATGGTTGAGGTTAAAATAAAGTAAAATATTACAAGCAACCTTCGGGTAACATTCAATGAAACTTACATGTATACCAAAAGAATCAAACTGTAAATTTGGTTTTCGATTTATAGTTTTTACAGTTTGGTAGTTGCAATGAAAGATAACTTAGAGAAGGTAATTACACACTTTTGCATGTAAATACTGAAAAGTTAAAGCGTTGCCAATCTAATAAAAATGTATTGTTTTGAAATAAGACTAGACAAAAGAGAATTCAGTTTTAAAGCTTTTTTATGTTAAATATAACTTCTGTAAACAGCACAGATTTTAGGGTTTAATGTTGTCAGGTATTTCAGGGAACAATCAACTGTTGTCGATTGACTTCTCTCAGCGGCCAATTTTGGTGATATTAACTGCTTAACGATTTCATTTCAGGGCGCGCAAATAGATATCCGTCTGTTTACTTGACAAATCATTTTTAAAAGCTCTTTAGAAGCGAAAAAATGAAAGGAAAACAAATCAAATGGGTAACGATCAGAAAGGTTTCTTTGTCAAACGTCAGGCACAGCACCTAAAATTCTAAAATCTAGACTCCGCATCGGTTCTAATATCCGGAATGCTGCGCCGAGTTATTGAATGAAATAAGCTGCGGCGCATTTAATTAGTCGATTACAGCAATGTTTGGGGACAGTAATCAATAAGAAGCATTGAGTGATATACAGGGAGACTCAGATATTGGTTGGACTGGTCGATTGACCTCTTCTCACTTTAATTTTTTATTTTGACTCGTGAGAAAAATGTACGAAGTACTCGCAAGAGAAGAACTTTACGTCACGAAAGTCTTCAAAGTAGCGCGAAAAACTAATCAATTATAGATGAAAATGATCACTTTCATGTCTAGAGAAATTATTAACAAAGTCTCTTTATATGTTCTCTCACAACATCCAGAGCAAAATTTAACGTTTAATACTGAAAATGTACGTAATATAACCGTTTTCACCGTTTCAAATAATGAAACAAATCGGAATTAAACGACAATTTACCCAATTAAGAGAGAAGACCATAAATTCGCTGTTGGACTGATGTCACATAAAAATTGTTCAATTGCTGATAAAAGCAATAGATAACACAAAATCGCTTTTTTACGTTCAAGATCCAGACAATTTATTATCTACAGTGATATTTTTGATTTTAGAACGCTAGCTATTATGTTATAATTAATAGAATTCAATCTCACCACATGGTAACAAAATTGACTTTTTTCTGATTGGAGAACGTCCAGCGGATGTTGTAAATATTTCATAACCCATGGCGTGCAGCGGATGGGATGCAGAGAAAAGCGTGATGAATGTCGGCTACACGGTAATTACAATGAAGAAAATGATCATAGCTCAGTGATTTTTGTTTACTCTCTGAAAGTGTTGTAAGTCGGATTTAATTTCTTATGATTTACGTTCATTCTGAATAATGATATCCCTTGCATATAGATAACATCGAATCCATACGACAGCAGAAATAAATATCACCAATTAATTTAAATCATTTGGAACTTTGTATGATTTGTTTAAAGAGATTTGCTAATCAGTAAATGTTCTCCGAATTTCTGTATTGTTATATCAACGAAATCATCCTACATGCATAAAAGTCAACCAGTCAAACTGCTTTTAATTCCGAATTCAAAAGATTGTTTTTGTTAATCTTAACTTGGATAACACTCAAGTTTAAAACCCCATTGAGCTCAATTTAGCATTGTATGAAATCACACATTTTTATTTTTCCGAAATTTGTGAACATTTGTTTTTGTAATTTATAAAATGCTTTCTATTCATCTGTACCAAGTTTGGGATTCAGGAGAGCCCATTGCGAAAATGATCACAATATCCATAGATTTATTTGTGATAAAAAACAACCTTTCATTAATTAACATATATGCAAGGGGAAAATGCAGTTTATTTCATATGTAAAATGTATTGTGTCATCCATAGATTCATTCAACATTGCGTACACTTATGTAGCAAAATGTATGATATTCAGATTGTAATCTAAAGGAATTGGCTTTGTGTTGGTCTATCCTATCTCACCTTATCAGGTCCAGGAAGGTGTCCACAGAGTTCAGCTTTTTGGACTCCCCGTACCTGGGGATCTCAGTGTCATCGCCATTAGCCCCGGGTCGAATTGACACGGCCATGATGATGCCCAATATGACAGCTAACAGCGTGGTGGTACCAAAATACGCCATCGTTCTCAGACCCATTTTGCCACATGTTTTAGCGTCAAGTCCCGCGATCCCGCCAATTAAACTTGCAACAACCAATGGGAGTATGAGCATTTTGAGCATGCGCATCAGCATTTCTCCGGGAAATTGTAAATACATGATTTCTCTTTTCGTTAGTTTTCCTGTTGCTCTTATTCCAAACCCGATTGCACAGCCAAAAACCACCGAAAGCAGTAATAGAACTAATATTAGATTCTGTCTGAGTCCTTTTACACACAAATGTAACATATTCGTTCCATAGCTTCTTTGAAGTGTTCCTTCATTTTCATACAAGACCTGGGTATCATATTTGGTTGAGGAATCGTTGTTGTATAAAAGTTTAGATTCTGGATCCACTAATGTTTTAGTCGGTGGCTTATAATCCATTTTTGCCTTTTAATTTCCAAAAATTAATGATATTATAAAACTTGAGATATTGACATAGTCGTCACTCGATTCAAGCTTGTTTTGACGAAAGTTGTGCTGTCTTGTGATGTTTAAAAAGAACCTTTTCCTCACCAGTCGTTAGGTGTATTCGGAACTAAGTGGAGCAAGGACATGAACAAAAACTACTAGGTAGATACGAGATCATTACGAAAAGCGCATGCGTGAGAGACAAACTCATCCATCAATATAAAAATACTTATTTGCAGCTCTACATTGGACATTGCCGGATAATGAATTGCTTTGGAAAGTAAATCAACACACAATATAGATAGGCCAAGGTATGGGAGAAGGAAGAAGTATTTCAGGAGATCGATTTGAGAGGATTACTGACAATATTCCGGCTTTCACCTACCGGGGAAAAGTTCAATCGACTTTCATCGTAGGTCATTTGTCTACTAAAAGAGGAGATTGGAGAGTGAATTAAATGGCATATAAAAATTGGATGACCCGTGATCGTCCTTTAAACTCCAATATGTTGAGATATCTTAATCAATGGTAAAAAATTATGTTGCAAATTGCAGTAATTGAATGAAAGCAGCTAAAAGGGAAAATGTTTTCATCGCATCCTTGATTAAAATTCGAAAGCGGTTTTTTTTACCACAATTATTGAAATCTAATGTTTGTGTATCATGTATATATCCTCCTTTTCAGTTTTTTGCAAATTTCATTATTTAATGTTACTGAAGTTACTGAAGTACTTTTATAATTAACTACATTATATAAAATAGTCTAAGCTTATCCATCGATCATTTTCACACTACCTGTACTATTAGCTTTATATAAGTGCTGCATTTTCCCATAGATGCCCATAGCACATTCTTACATGTACATTGTAAACAAAAATGTCCCAGATTCTGAAAATTATAACACAATACATGAATTTAAATAGCTTTTTTTTTTGTCGTCTTTAGAGAATAACTTTAAAAGAATTGAGGGAATATATATGGGATTAATAGTTGGCGCATTAATAATATAATAATAATATAATTAAGCATATTAGCAACAAACCTTTTCGTTAAGTTTATTAATGCAGGATTGAATCGGAATTCTTGTCTCATGTCTGGGTTTTGATTAAATAAAATACTTAAGGTATATATTTATTGAAATATGTATTATATATTGAGACCTTTTTAATCATTAATGATTTTTTCCATTTATTTGTCGACTCGATATATCCAAAAAAAATTTTCTCTTTCATATATGGATATTTTACAAGCAAAAGACGGTAATGGTTACCTTACAACTACAATCTAACTTTATGATAAGCGTAATGACTCCAACTTTTCTATTGTTAATTTTTCTGAATTGTATAGTAATATATCCTTATCACTAGCATATGTGGGTTAATGTCTTCCAGTTGATTTGAAATGCAACGGTATGCTCCAAGAAGGAATAATTTCTAAAGCGAGAAAATCTTTAGACAGTCAAGATGATGAAACATTAATATCAACAGTCGTGTTAAAATTCACAATTTCACAAGTCTGTGCTTGATAGATTTAAAAATCAAAGAAAAGGTAAATTAGCCAACATAATCTTTCATGGTTAAATTATTTCTGTTAAAATGGTATTAGCATTTGATAGACTCTTCGTGGTAACATGATTATTATCTTATTTAAAGAGAATAACATGTAATGTTTTGAAATGGTTGATGGCACGACATGATTGGCAACAGTATTTTTAAAAATTTTGAATATCAAATATAATCTAATTGATTCCATAACTTTATGATCAAGTCCTCGTGTATCTATATACTTATTAATTTTTTTATATGCAAGAAATATGTGGAGAATCCCTTCTTATATTTAGCTGTTGCAACCACTGCAGAAAAAATATTACAGCTGTACAGCCACACACCCAAGTTTATTATTTTTGTTTACAGCCAATAATTCCACAACCATAGATTTTTTAACTTAAGAAATGAAAAAAAAAAGTTTGAAGTATTAGAACTTAAAATAGTTGATCCAGGATAAAAGTTAGAAATCACTCACATTATAACCCCTCTGCACCTACGTTCAACTAGTAAGAATATTTTTTTGTTTTTGTACAGAAAATGTCCTGTAAAAGAACCAGAAGGCATACTTTTATTTCTAAGATCTAAGAAAATACATGATCATACTTTTAAAATCTCATTATACCAAGCATAATATGATTGTTATATCATTCACATGAAGAATATGAATGAAAAAAGAAAAAAAAAAGGTTTTGTTCATTTATGAATTAAGGAAGCAGTAATTCCTATGGAGATAACGAACAGCGTTTGGGATCAAAAGTGCATTTAAAAAATATAAATTAGGATCAGAGCAAACACGGACCTCAAAACATCAGATTAGAGATCAGGTGCCATGGAGGAGTGAGTATCCCCTGCCGACCGGTCTTACGAACCCTGTGCTCCATGTCTTGATTGGGAATTCGGAATAATGGAAAAATCCATCGAAAAAATTCAGTTTGTACAATATGGCCTAACAATTATTATGAAAACATCAGTCAGCATTTGACTCAATCATACATTTCATTTGCTGACAAGATCATAGTATCGACCACAGATAATATTAACATCGGATCGAATTCCACAGAGGAATGTTTAGATGAACTCTATTTGAATGAAACTTTATTATCTGAAGATCCGTGTCGTAAAAAATGTAATCGCAAGTTACGAACCATAAGCAGGAATTACTAACCAGCGACCTACTTGCAAACTGCTATATCCTGATTATAGATGTAATGTATGTCATTTGAAAATATACACAGGATATTGCCTCCCGATGCTTTAGCTCCATAGGTAAATGTGTTATTGACCTTTCCGAGTTAACGTTGTTATATCTATAATGTACCAAAAACAAAATATGTTATAAAGCTTTATTAAATTCAGTTTAAAACTAAAAATAAACACAACATAGTCTCTTAATGAGCTTTTGACTGATATGTTGTAAAAATAAATAAGTATTTCATGCGAAAGTTAAACTAATTTAGGGCAATAAACATATAAAAAAATCGCATTGGAACACTTTTCATACATTGTTGACCTTAATTTTCTTTGTAACATTTTCATAAGTGCAATAAAAAGCATTTTTGATTCATCACAAAATACAAATCAATCCATACATGTTGTATCGAATAGTAAAAATGTAACATTATTAAATAAAGGAATGTCGTTTCTAAAACTACATGGACTATATTCTTTAGTTAAAACAATATAATTATAATATTCTGTATATATAATAAATGAGTTTTACTCATTAAAAATTCAACTTCAAACCGGTATATGTGTCATTTGATAAGCGATTGCTCTGGTCATTCCTCTTTATTAACCGGATGTGAATATTTACTTCCGGGAACTAACAATGACAATGTAGAACATATGACAATAATGATAAACACGACAAGAAGTAACCTGTCAATCACAAGAGCTAACTGTTGCCATTCATTCTTGATGACGTCACGTCTATCTTGTTCAGCCATTCGCTGATCATTTCGATCAATAGTTTTGTTTACTCGTTGTAATATCCTTGTAAATTCTCTATGACTGGGATCATCCGGCTCGGTCTTCTGCATCAGTCTAGGGGACATTCCTCCTCCACCATTTGATGCTGGAGGTGGCTCGCTGTCGTAAATGATATATCTCGGTGAGGGAACCTGCTCCTGTTAATAAATCAATTGTAGTGTTATTCAAATAGCATTTAGTCAAATACAAAAATACAATTCTTTTACATAAAAAAGATATTCTAACAGAACATAGTAACACTATAAGCTGGCTCGCATATTCTGTCTTTTTCCAAGTTAAAAAAACGAAAACGAGTGGCTTACCATTACTTTTGTCTTAATGACTATAAATAAACAATGTAACAATTTTACTGCTATTCTTGCTCATTTTTAAATTCGTGTGTCAAAAGAATGCAAATATGTTTATTTATTTAGAACAATTAATATACATGTATACAGTCACAATTAATCACCTGAAACTATCAGCCAGTCTCTGGATACAACCAGTTTGCCCTAATCGCAATGTCACTGACCTATAATGTAAACTTATTCTGTGGAATCATTATTGTTTGTGGGAGATCATATCCTTTAACGTAATAATTCAGCGAATATCTTAAAGTACCCGTTAACCTACTAAATTATGTTCTCATGAAACATTGATTCCCACGAACTATTGAGACTCTACAGTGTTCACAATATGCAGAAATGACTAGCAACTGTTCCATTGAAAACTCATTCTATAGTTTTTTTTTTAGGCAAACTTTAAAAGCTCATCGAAGCATCATGTACAGAAAATTTTTTTTTCACTAATCACTTTTGAAAAAGGTTTGTGTGGCCGTTCGACAGGGGATGGTCACTCCCTCATGGCACCTGATCCAACCTCTGATGTTTTGAAGTTCCATGTTTGCTTTGGTCCAATTTTGTATTGCTTAATGAACTTTCGAGCTTGGATACTCTTCGTTATCTCCATATATTTTCATCTATATATACACTTATTATCAATTTTTATTTGTCGCCCACGTGGAGCAGTGGTTAGAGCGTCTGCTCTAGAGTCGCGAAGTAAAGAGTCAATCCTTACGTCGCGGGTTCGAATCCCACTGTGGGACGTGGAGACCGGTCAAGACCGTATAAACCGAGGTCCTGTGTCGCAGTAGGTGCTGGCACAAAAAAGATCCCTCCCTGCTCATTGGCCCCCAGTGCCGAGTATAAGAGAAAATTTGCAACTCTCCACCGGCAAGTGGTGGCGTCTCCATATTAGTGACAAATTTTTGAGCGGGACGTTAAGCAATATACAATCAATCAATTTTTCTTTGGATTGGACCATAACCAGTCATTTGAATAAACATGTAGGCCT